CCCTCTCGCCCGTCAGTCAATACCAACCACAAAGCCGTACCGTCCTACCTTTAGTACGCCGACGTCTCATAAAGAAGGCAGTCTTTTCAATAAACTGTTGCCGTGTGTATAGATTTAGCTCGTCCTCCCCTCCCCCCACTCCTCCCCACTTTCTTTCTCTCCATCCCCTCCTCCTATCTCCACTCCTCCCCTTTTCTCCTTCCTATATATCTTGCCCTCCTCCCTTCTTCCCTTTTCCTCCTTCTTTCTTCCTCCTTTTTCTCTCCTCCCCTTCCTATCCTTCCCTCCCCTCCCCTCGTCCTTACTCCCCCCTTCACCTTCACCCTCCTCTCTCATTACTCCGTCCTCCCTCCCTCCTCCCTTATTCCTCCCTTTTCGTCGTCCCTCCTCCCTTATTCCTCCCTTATTCCTCCCTCCTCCCTTATTTCCCCTCCTCCTCCCTCCTCCTCCTCCCCTCCTTCCTCCCTCCCTCATCCTTCTCGCCTCCTTCCTCCCTCCCTCATCCTTCTCGCCTCCTTCCTCCCTCCCTCCTCCTCCTCCTCCTCCTCCTCCTCCTCCCACCTCCGGAAGGTTTGTGTGTATATTTACCGGGTGAGATCACCCGTCACCTCACCAGACCACACATTTTTCCTCTTTTGTTGAGATCAATGGCAGAAATCTTCAAGCACACACTACCAGTATACTACAGGAGAAAGAAAAAAAAAAAAAAGAAAGAAACTTCCCCTCTTAATCCCCTCAGCTTCTGTTCTTTCTGCGACGGTCTTCATTTTCTTTTCTTTTCTTCCTACTTTGTCTTCCCTTCTACTTTTCATATCTTCTTTTTCTTCGATCCTGTTTATTTTAAACATTCTTTTTCTTTTCATCTTTTTTTTTCTTCTTCTTTTAATCCCTTACTTCGCTCTCCTTTTTTAAAACATTCTTTTTCTTTTCTACTTCTTGTTCTTTGCTCGTTCGTTTTTAAAATCGTATAATAAATATCCTTTTCACCTCCTCATGCGCTTCATTTGTGAAAGTGAATAGACACAAGAGGCCCGTTTTTCCAGGCTATAATAGGCGGCTGAATAGATAATTACACACCGGTATGCGCAGCTTTTGGTGGCTCAGAGAGTGTGTCAGTGTGCGCGCGCCCTTTGTGCAGTTGTGTGCACCTTGTGGGTTCATTTGTTGTTCTTGCAAGTTTTTGGGGGGATTTTCTTTTTCTTTTTTTTTTGGTGCGAATGTCTCGAGTCGCGACGTGATAGTGACGTAGTTTCCAGTGATTTCCGTTTGCCTTGATGGTATGTTTTGTGCACCAGACGACCCCGAGAATTCCAATTTTAATAATTAAAAATTAAATTTCAGTAAGATTTTTACGGCACTTGCAATACGCTTAGGTCTTGTAAGTCTTTACTCTTTATTTTTTCCGATCTGTTGTTATTTTTTTTTAGACATTGTCACTTTAACTAACATTTATATCATTGTTATTAACGGCAGACACAGGGCTCTGGAAATAAGGAAATAGGATGGGATAACTAAGATTGAAATGCAGTCCAAAACCTACTCTAACGCCACTTGTGTAAGGCAATCACCTTGAAAAATGACCGCTTCCTATTTATCTCTTACGGATTTACTTTAAAAAATCGATATAGTGACACTGTGTAAGGCCTCCATAATTTGTCGAAGACATCCACCTGTCTAAGACATCCACCTGTCTATGACGTCCACTTTTCTCCTCGATTTTGGCTGGCTGTCTTCATGTTTTCCATACTGTGTTTTCTAGTCAGAAACGAACGAAAACAAACTGAAAAAAAGAGAAAAAAAAGGAAAAAAAAAACAACAACCTAAAAGACTAAAGAGAAAATAAAGCGAAGTAAACAAGAAAAGGGAAGAAAAATATAGATTTCTAGAAT